GGCAGGGCCGGAGCCCGGCGCTCCCGCGGGCCGTCAGGAGCCGGCGTTCGAGTCCGGGCACCGCCCCATTGCCCTCGGACCGGCCATCGCCCTCTCCGGGTCCCCGCGTCCTCGTCTTTCAGTGGGCCTGGTTACGCCCGCCCGGGAGGCCCGGCCCTGCTGGACCTGTCCCGGCAGCTGCGCGATCGTGCGCTTCTGTCCTCCCTCCGTTAAATCCCAGCGCCCGGATGCCTGCGGGTCTCTGGCCAGGAGAGCGCTTGGCAGGGCCAGAAGGTGCAGCTGGGGCCGCTGGCTCCCACACTTGAATTCGTGTTTGGGCTCTGTCACTCGCTATAGGTGTGACCTTGGGCGATACGTTTATCTGAGCTTCAGTTTCCTTGTCTGTAAATCAGGGGAGTAGTAATGGCAACAACGCCTATGAGCACTTACGCCTCCTGGGGCAGCTAATTTTTACAACAAACCAGGAGGCACCTAGTTTTTACAACGAACCACACATTCACGGGACAAGAATAGTTGCTATCCCGTTGTAAAGATGGAGCAACTGAGGCACAGCGACATTAAGCCTTGCCCAAGGCCACACGGTCTAATCCAGCGCCTGGCACCTGTAGTTGTTGTCTTCCGCTCTGACTCGGTTCCCTCACAGCAGGATGGAGCCAGCTGAGGAACTGGAGGAGGAGGACTCTCCAGGTGGCCGGGAGGATGGCTTCACCGCTGAGCACCTGGCCGCCGAGGCCATGGCAGCTGACATGGACCCTTGGCTGGTGTTTGATGCCCGCACCACGCCTGCCACCGAGCTGGATGACTGGTTGGCCAAGTACCCACCATCCCAAGTCACCCGCTACGGGGACCCCAGTTCACCCAACTCAGAGCCTGTGGGCTGGATTGCAGCATATGGGCAGGGCTACACCCCAAACTCTGGCGACGTGCAGGGTCTGCAGGCAGCCTGGGAAGCTTTGCAAACCAGCGGGCGGCCCATCACGCCAGGCACCCTGCGTCAGCTGGCCATCACCCATCAAGTGCTCTCTGGCAAGTGGCTGATGCACCTGGCACCTGGCTTCAAGCTGGACCATGCCTGGGCTGGCATTGCCCGGGCTGTGGTTGAGGGCCGCCTTCAGGTGGCCAAGGTGAGCCCACGAGCCAAGGAGGGCGGGCGCCAGGTCATCTGTGTTTACACGGATGACTTCACGGACCGCTTGGGTGTACTGGAGGCAGATTCAGCCATCCGTGCAGCAGGCATTAAGTGCCTGCTCACCTACAAGCCTGATGTCTACACCTACCTGGGCATCTACCGGGCCAACCGCTGGCACCTCTGTCCCACTCTCTACGAGAGCCGTTTCCAGCTTGGGGGCAATGCCCGTGGCTCCCGGGTGCTAGACCGCGCCAACAATGTGGAACTGACCTAGAGGGACCAAGCGGGAGAGACTGTCCTCTGCTTCCTCCCCTGGGGATGGAACGTCCTGTCTTCCTCTTCCTCGTCCCAAGAAGGCCAACTGCCCCAGCTCTAGAGACTTAAGTCCCTTGGGAACTGCCTGCATCTTTGATCCCCTTGAACTTGTGTCCTCTGTTCAGGGCTGACTCAGGCCCCCACAGGCTGGGGGCTTTGGCTCTCTGAGGGCCGAGCCCTCAGCCGCCTTTTCGATGCTGCTCCCTCCACTGCCCAGTTCCACGGGTCGGGTGCAGACACCGAAGAGGAGAGCCTGCCTTGGCCACCCTCGTCCCTGGCTGTACCCCCACTCCTGCATTCTCCCCTTCTCTCTTCCTCCCTCACAAGGGAGAAAACAGTGCTTCCAGTTCCTCTCCCTGGAGCCCTTGTGGCCCAGGGGGCAGGGACCCTGCAGGCCTGAGCATGCCATTTGGGGGGCAGGGTAGTTGTGCCCACTCAGCCCCTGGCAGAGAGAGGGGATGCCAGGGGCCATGGACTTGGGGCCTGCCCCCCTGCCAACTCACAAAGCCTGCACCACCTTCCCCCCTTCTTGGCTACCTTGACATGTGCCTGCTCCTGGCATTTCAATAAAACCCAGCTTGGGTCTGTGTCTTGAGTGTTTTTTAAAACCCTGTCTTGGTGTTACCTGTTTGGGTTGCTGGGGAGAGACACGGCCAGGAGAGACTGCTGCCTTGGCCCGGCCAGGCCACCCTGTCTGTCCCCAGTAATCTAAGATGTGCTTCACTGCCAAGGCTTGACTCACGCTCTCTCTCTGAGAACCTCTGCAAAGTGAGCCCTGCTTCCCCTCATCACAAGAATCAGAATCCATTTCTCCCGTAAATCCAGGGGTTTGCCCTTCCAGAAGGTCCAGGGGGCCACTATTAGCCCACAGGGTGCATTTGTGCACATCAGAGAAAGGTGCTCTCTTGGTCCTGGCCGTTCTAGGCTGGGGCACATGGTTTGGTGAGCATGGCTTGGTGCTGGATTTCAGCATCCTAGGCTGGCTATCTTTGTGCAGTGAACAGCCTGCACAACCATTGCTGGCATCCCTGGATGCCGTGCCATTTATACTCAGCTCCCTTACCACCCTAGGGACCAAAGGCCAGTTTGCAAAGCACTTCCATACGTATCACTTGATTCCCACAACCTCTGTAGGAGATGTTGGCCCCATTCTGTGTCATGGGAACTGAGGCCAGAGGGGAAAGGAGTTTTCTCAGGCCCCGCGGTGAGTCAGGCAGAGCTAGGACCTGCTTCCCAGTCTCTTCCTACTCAGTCAGAGAGTGGTCCCTGGCCTTGCTGAGGAAGCCTCTCCCTGGGTTAGCGCTTCACGACTCAGCACGTCCCTCACGTGATCCCGCTGGGCCACCCTGCACTGCTGAGGCTTGCTGCAGCCTCTGGGGGCCTGGCGCTGCATCCCTCTACCCCCCCCCAACCCCACGCCCAGCCCGGGCCTTGGTTGGGGGCCAGGGTGTCTGTCAGGGAGCCCCTTGGGACGCTGCTCTCGTGCCGTGCCGGAGCTGACTCAGCCTCCAGCAGCCTCACCAAATTGGAATTTGGAGCAAAGGAGCGGAGATGCCACTGGGCTGACTGGGTGGAAGTGGCTGAGTCACGAGATGCTGGCTCGACGCCCTCCAGCTTCCTCCCCACCCTGAGCTTCCACAGGGCTGAGTCCCCCCTGGCCAGCCTTGGGAAGTCCCCAGAGCCGGGTGGTCTCCCCGTTGGAGCCTGGCGCCCTGCCTCCCTCTGACCATCCGCGCCTTGCACTTGACCAGAGCGGGCCAAGGCACCTCATGAGTTCCACAAAGATGCCCAGATGGCATCAGCAGCACCTGTTCCTTCTTCCCTAGCTGGGCATGTCACTCCTCACCCCTCCTGTCCACTCCCATGGCCCTGCTGAGCCCATTCTTCCCCATCCCCCCAAACCACCTTGGCAGCCCCCAGCTTATCCCCCCACCCCCAGCTAGGCCAACAGATCTCTCCTGCACAGCTGCCTTTTCCTGCTGAAAGTCCCTCCCTGGCTCCCTGCAGCCTGCAGGATAGAGTCTGCTTTCCCAGGCTGCCCCAGCTCCCTTTGGGCCCCCCTTCCCGTGCCCACCTCACTGCAGCCACCCAGCACCACCCAGCACCGCTGGCATGAGCCCTGGGCCTCAGGCTGTTCATTCTGCTCGAGCACCTGCCCTGCAGCACTGATCGCAGGATTATGTGGTTACTTATGTCATGGCTTGGCTGATGGTGATCTCCTGCTGGCCCCTAAGCACATGTCCAGACTGTGTGTTCCATGATGGCAGGAACACTGTCTAAAGCGCTGTCCCCCTGGCTGGGCGTGGTGACTCACGCCTGTAATCCCAGCACTTTGGAAGGTGGAGGTGAGAGGATTGCCTGAGTCCACGAGTTCGAGACCATCTTGGGCAACATGGCGAGACTTATTTCTAAAAAAACAAAACAAAACAAACAAAACAAATTAGCTTGGCCTGTTAGCACATGCCTGTGGTTCCAACTACTTGGAAGACTGAGGTGGAAGGATTGCCTGAGCTCAGCAGGTCGAGGCTGCAGTGGCTGTGAACATGCCACTGCCCTCCAGCCTGGGTGATAGAGTGAGACTCCGACTCAGATAGATAGATAGATAGATAGCTGTCCCCAGCGCCCAGCACAGTGTGTGGCCACAGTAGCCTCTCTTAAAATTATTAAATGAATGAATGAAGTAATTGACGACGCAGACACAGCTCCTGCTTCGCCCTTCTTGTTCCAGAATCTTGAGCTGCCCGTGACTCCCTGCGCTTGTGCCTGACCCTCGCCCGCTTCCCTGGCTGACTCCATACCTCAGTCCCTCCCGCTCAGGTATCATTCTTCGGGATCCTCCCCCATTCACGCTCACCCTGACTGTCTGACACACATCCCTCTTAGGCCCCCACAACACCTGTGGCTCTGGGTCTTGCAGGGACAGTGGCTGTGCTTTATCCTCCAGAGTGACCCCAGCAGCCGGGTTAGGGCCCAACCTAGAGCAGGTGCTAACTAAACATTCTTGAATAAGTGAGTGATTGAATGAAAGCATTCATTCTCATTCTCTTTCTCTCACTCTCATTCTATTCAAAACATGAGGCAGGCATTGTGCTAAGTGTTGACCAACATTGTCTCATCTAAGTTTCACCTGGCTATATTATTGTTGCCATTTTGCAGAAGAGGAAACTCAGGCCCAGACAAGTGCACTAATTGGCTTAGATTACAAAACTACTAAGAGACCAAGCCAAGATTCAAACCCAGGTCAACCAACTCCAGAGTGCCTGATGCATTGTTGAGCCCCCACTATAGAAAGTGCCATAGGGCCGGGCGCGGTGGCTCACACCTGTAATCCCAGCACTTTGGGAGGCGGAGGCCTGAGCCCAGGGGTTCGAGACCAGCCTGGGCAACTGGACGAGACCTTGTCTCTACAATAAATTAAAAAATTAGCCGGGCATAGTGGTGCTTGCCTGTAGTCTCAGCTACCCAGGAGGCTGAGGTAGAAGGATCGGTTGAGCCCAGCAGGACGAGGCTGCGGCGGCCGTGAGGGTGCCACTGCACTCCAGCCTGGACGACAGAGTAAGACTCCTACTCAAAAAAAAAAAAAAAGTGTTGTGTGCTGTAGGGGTGAGCAGATGGGTGACAGCCAGCAAGGACTTCGAATCTGGTCTGAAAAGCATACAGGTTGGGTCCTCAGAGCCACATGAGAGAGAGGTTTTTCTTACTGCTGAGGAAACGGAGGCCCGGAAAGTGCAATGACTAAGCCCACCTGGACAGGAAGGGTCTCCCAGGCCCACAGTGGGGACTGTGCCCCTGCTGGGTCAATGGCCCCCTAAAGCTCACCCCCTCAAGTTAGCAGGGAGGTCTGCCCTGTTTGGCTGGCCCCTTTCTACTTGGAAGCAGAGATGCCTTAGGCCTGGGGTGAGCTGGGAAAACTAGGACAAGCCCCTGTGCTCTGCTCCTTTTATAAGACCAGGGGAGGGCCTGGCATGGTACCTCACACCCATAATCCCAGCACTTCGGGAGGCTGAGATGGGAGGACTGCTTGGGTCTAGGAGTTCAAGACTAGCCTGGGAAACATAGTGAGATCATGCCTCTACAAAAAAAAATCAAAAAATTAGATGGCTGTGCTGGTACATGCCTGCAGTCCCAGCTACTGTGAATCCTGAGGCAGAAGGATCACTTGAGTCCAGGAGGTCAAGGCTGCGATGAGCTGTGATCGTGCCACTATAGTCTGAGTGACAGAGTGAGACCCCAACTAAAAAAAAAAAAAAAAAAAAAGGCCGGGCACAGTGTCTCAAGCCTGTAATCCTAGCACTTTGAGAAGTCAAGGCGAGAGGAATGCCTGAGCCTGCGGGTTTGAGAACAGCCTGGACATCTTGGCAAGATCTCATCTCTACAATAAATCAAAAAATTAGCTGGGCATAGTAGCGCACGCCTATAGTTCCAACTACTTGGAAGGCTGACATGGAAGGATCGCTGGAGCCCAGCAGGTCGATGCTGGGGTGGCCATGAGTGTGTCACTGCACTCCAGCTGGGGTGACAGAGGGAGACTCTGGCTCAAAAAAAAAAATTCTATAATTAAAAAAATAATAAAACCGGGGGAGAATGGCTGAGGCTAGGAAAAGAAGACCCTGATTCCTCCTCCTTCTACTGCCACACACTACAAACCCCCAGGTCCCAGGGAAGAGATTCCAGAAGGTCTGACCAGAGGAAGGGAGAATCTGCCTGACCCCTGACCCCAGCCGAGAGGACAGGAAACAGCAGAGTCAGGAGAACACTTCAGCCAGAGCTTTGGCAGGATTTTGGGGATTTTCCCGGTGGGGCAGCTGCGCCCCACTCCCGCCTGCTGGGAGGAGCCCTGGCAGGGATGCGGATTGGGTCACACAGCTGATTCATCCGGGGAGGGAAACTCCCCACTTCTCTGACGCGCATCCCGCAGGCACCCAGGGGTAAAGCTGAGGGCACCCAGCTGAGAAACCCCCCAACTTCACCTTTCTTTGATTACTTGAGGGGTAGTGGGGGAGCACTCGGGCTAGACGGGGGGATAGAATCAGGCAGGGTGGCAGGGATTAGGGGGCAACTTCCTGGGGAATAAAACCAGAGACTGGAACCAGAGTGAAAGCTTGACAAGGGCCACCTCAGGAGTTCTTTCTCACCCATTTGATGGATGAGAAAACAGAGGTTCAAATAGTAGGGGTAAACATATACATAGACCTACTTTGCACCAGATGTACGCTAAGCAGTTGACACACATTCACTCATGTGGGTCCTCACATCCCTCCTTTTCACGAATGAGGAAACAGGCAGAAAGAGGTTAAGTAACTTGGTCAAGGTCAAGGCTAGAATTGCTGTGGGGGCCTCCACAATTCCCAAGGGTACTTGTGCACACCTGTGGGGCAGGAGCTCCATCCCTGGACCCAGAGGAGCTCAGGCCTCCCTGGGGGGAAGCCTGAATTGGTTCCTGAGGGTCTTCCACTCTCTTCGGTTCCCCTTCTGCCCCCTGGAGACCCTCAGGACAAATAAGTCACCCACCACCCTGGCTCCTCCTCTTCCCTCCGAGAAAGAGAAAGCCCGCTTTCTGCAGAAACGTCAGCCAAACCCTCAGAGGCCAGGAGAGGGCAGCGGAGCC